CGGGGTGGGCGCGCGAAGGCGGGAGGGGCGGGGCGCGGGGCTCGAGACACGGGTCTATTTTATTACGGCAAAGGTGAAAAAGCCACCTCGGCCCAACAGGCAACCGGTAAAATGTATCCCAAAATAACTCGGTACAAAACGGGTCTGCGTCAGGATTAAAAAAAACCTTTACAGGGTTAAAACCTATCCCAGAACGAAAAACCAAACCCCCCCGCGGCTGCTGCCGCCCCCGGAGCCGGGAGCCAGGTCGGAGTCCTCGGGCGCCCGCGCCGGGCGCCGCTTTAGCTGGTGTCCATCTGCGGGGAGAGGAGACAGGACGTCACCCCGCGCCCCCGCCCGTCCTGCCCCGCAGCACCAGCCCCACGCAGGTGACACGGCTGGAGCTGCTCCCAAACACCAGACATTCCCACACCAACTTCTTGAATTCTGCTCATCTTACTTCTTCCATCCTCTCACCTTTGTTTTCTCCCATTCCTACAGCACTGTCACCCCAGTTCGCTTTCAAGATTTTAACCTGGCTCTGGCACAGACACCCGAGCAGTTCCAGAGGCAGCAGAGGACACGCCTGGCTCTGTGTCTGTGTCACTGACCTGCCCCGCTCAGGGGTTCTTAATTTTCACTTTCCCTTTTTCCAGCCCCTTCTCTTGGTGGGCTGTTACACAGCTCCTGTTCCAGCTGTGGAGGAGCTGACCCTGTGCCCACACCAGGAGCTGCGGCTGCTCCTTGGCCCTCAGTAACAGCAGCTGGGAACATGAGCTGGAGTTAATGTCACCCCCAGGTCCCGGTGCTGCCTGGCTCCAGGAGGAGGCAGATGTAGCCCAATGACCTGGAAAATGCTCCCCCTTTCCTGCCAATGATTCCCAGAGGGAGACGCCACATGGAAGCTGTGGAAGCGCCTGCAGCACCTACCCTGGCGTTATAAGCATCCAGCTGTGCATCTAGTTCCTCTGCAGAGAGCTGCTGTTTGGAAGTTCTCCCAGCTCCTCTGCCTCTCCCTCTGCTCCCACCACGAGTTCCTCGTCTGTTGCCGCCTCCACCACCAAATCCTCCTGAACCACCGCGGTTTCTGGTCATCCCACCTCTGTTTACACTGGGATTGTTAAAAGAGCAACTGGGTTAGTGTGTCCTGGCTACCCCAGCCAGCGTGGGGAAGCAGAGGAGCTGCTCCAGGCCCCTGCACATCCCGCAGGGCTCACCTCTGCACCGGTCTCCTCTGTGTGTCGATCTGTGACGTGACCAGCTGGATGTTCATGGGGCGCCCTGGGGAGAGCAGCCCGTCAGCTGAGGGGTCACCCTGAGGGGCAGGGGCAGGGACACCGAGGCCTGTGCACTCACCGTCCAGGGGCACCCCGTTGTACTGCTTCATGGCCTTCAGCGCGTCCGCCTTCCGCTCAAAGTGCACGTCGGCCGTGCCCAGGCTGCGGCCGGACCTGTCGTAGTGCACGGCCGCCTTCTTCAGGGTCCCAAACTCTGCAAAGAGCTCCTGGGAGCGAGAGGGAGGGGACCCCCAGCCCGTCAGCGCCGCAGGGCCCCAGCCCTGCTCCCGGCACACGCGGGCACTTCCCAAACCATCATCGACAGCTCAGAGAAAGAACCGAGGGAGGGGAAGCACAGCCCATCAGAAGGACCCCAGGGGGTTCCCACAAGCAGCAGAACCAAACAGGGCTCCACATTCCCCACATTCAGAGCCTGTGGAGTCACTCAAGGGCCTTTCCTTCAGGCTGAATCTGCAGGGTGACAATTTAAAGACAACCCAGATCCTGTTCCAGGCCACAGAGAACAACCTGCGTGAGCACAGGGGCTTGGAGATGATTTCAGCTTCACTGTGCTGGGCTTTATTCTTCCCCCTTAATTCTTTATGAGACCAGGTGCAATTTAAACTACAGTCTTTTGGGACAAACCCCAAAACTGGGACTCAGGTACCCCTCTGCTGCACATCACTCACTGTCACCGAGGAGAGAAACAAAGAGGCAGCAAACAAGCCACCCATTTTTTTCTTCTAGGTTCCACACTGAGGACATCCCCAGGGACACCTCCTCATCCCCACTGCCCTGTCCTGCACCAGAGCTGCTGGGTGCCCACAGGACCCACAGCCCAGCACCAGGGGACCCAGGATGTGCTCTCCTCACCCAGCATGGGCAGCTGCCACCTGCTCCTCCCATGCTCTTCCTGGGGGAAGGTGACACAACCCCGGGAGCAGCAGCACAGGCCAGGGGAGGGCAACCCCTGCCCTCCAGACCACAGGCCCCACTTGATCAACTGCACAGCCCCTCTGAGGGCAGCACAGGCTCCAGGCCCATTCAAGCCCCTCAGGCTACAAGGAACAGGACACAAGGCAGGAAGCACAGCCCTAAGGCAGCGCAGAGTGAGGTGAGCAGACAAGCAGGTCCAACCACACAGCATCTTGCTGCTGGACATGCCAGGGATGGCAATTCAAAAGGCATCTGTTAGTTGTCCCCCGAGGGAAGCAGCAGGAAGAGCAGCACCAGGATACAAGACATGGTTTGCAGTGATGGAGCTGCAGAGGCTCCCGGGGGGTGAGAACTCCTGCTGCACAGCCCGGGGCCCACCAGGGCCCGGGGACCCCACAGCCCAACCCCAGCCAGGGACGGGTCACATCACACACCCAGCTGAGAGAATCTGGCCAGTTCTTACCCAAAATGTGGCTGAACAAGGACACAGGCCCCAGGGAAGACTAGGCTGGGGCAGCACAGCAGGCACCAGAGGCGCTGCCGCTCACCAGTAACTCCCAGTTACACCCGCGGAATTGCCCCTGGGAGCTCCAGCAGAGCCCATCCCGAGGGTCACGGGCTCCAGTGATCACCTCCTTTGCACCGAGCTCCCCGCGGGGCTCCCTCCGGCGCCGCCCCCGGGGGAGCCGCTCCCCGTGCCCGCAGCCCCCGGGACGGCCAGACCCGCGGCGGGACAGACACGGCGGCACAACCCACGTCCCCAGGGCAAAGCCAGTTCTCTCGGGATCGGGCGTCCCGGGCACCGATGGGAGTGGGGCCTGGGGCTGCCCCCGGCGCCCGGGGCA